TGTATATTCCGCCTGAAGGTCAAGGTCACCTACGGAAACCACTGGGGAAAAACGTTGGGGAAAAGACCTAGCAATGACCGTGTAGATGGGACTGCTTTACCCGGGATCAGATAGCAAAGACAAAGGGCCTGTTAGCTGCTGTTTATTCTTTCATAGCCTTTGCCTTTCCTCCTACAAATCCTCCCTAAAGGAGACGCTATTATTTATTAGCCCTACTGCTGCTAACAGCCCGAATTTAAGATAACCCCTTTTGTTCCACCGCATTTAGTGGATATTTGATTCCTATTCAGGAGGGCGATAGTGTGTGTAAATATTTGGTGCCCCGCTGAGCAAGGTTTGATTTACAGGCTCCCATCACTGCTGCTCTTGCGCGTGTCAGCTGGCAGAGCCCCGAGCGTCTGATCTCCCACGGCACGCTGCCCGCCAAAGCCTTCCCGGCTGCAAAGGAAAGGAGCTGCAGGTTGGCAGCGATTAGCGCTGGGAGCCAAATCCCCCTTCTCCATCTCCTGGGTAGCGTTACAGTCCCCCTGAGGACCGCAGGGTTCCCGCTGCATTTATGAGGATCAAAATCCCTTGGATTCCCCAGTTTATAGAAGCCCTGAGCAGAGCAAGGCCCTCCCCGCCTGCAAGGGCAGGAAATGTGCGATGGGGCTGCCGGTGCCGATGGCATTGCTCCCTGCCTGCTCCGGCAGCTCATCCCTGGGCAGTCTTTCCCCAGCTTTTGGAGCGCCAGCCGGCTCTCAAGTTGGATTTTTAAAGCAGCGCTAATGAAAATGCTGGGAATGTCTGTGGCATTTTTTTCATTTCATGGGTTCTCCCATCCACCGCTTTGCGGAGAAGCTGGCCCTCCTTGCAGATGGGGAGTTTTGACAAAAGGAAACTGTTGCTTTGTCTTCCAGACATTTTTCCTGCATTTTTTTTTTTTTACCAGTTCTGGTGGAAAATGGAGTTTTGGCTGTGCCATCAGGAAAGGCTGTATTCTTTCATCTCTCCAGCTGATAGCTAGTTAAAGAAACGTAAGTATAGTACTGTGTAAAGCAAGGTCTGCGTTACAGAACAACACTAATACTTGCAGGCAAAGCCACTCTCTCCATACACACATGCAGATGCTTTTCCTGGCCCAACCCATTGCCAGATCTATGTTAAGATTTTAAATAACAAAACTACATTGTATCTTGGAGACGAAGGACAAAATAAGTGGATTTTTTTTTCCCCTCCCTTACACTTTATGAAAAAAAAAGTAATTGGAAGGCCATTTTGCCAAGCTTCTCAAATGTTTTGTTTGGGTTTTTTTCCCATGACTTACCTTCAGTCAGAAATTAGTCTAGCATAAAACAGGAGCCAGAGCTCCCAGAGCAGGCTAGGAAGAGACAGGTGGGGAAACATTAAGAGAAAGAGTCTAACCCTCTGGACCGAGTAACGTAAAAAGTTCAGTGTGTGTGTCCCAGGGCACGGGGAAGGGACTGGACCTGGGCGGGGGAGCCTCCTTGGCCTTAGGTGGCCAAACTCTACTTTCACCAGTGTCAGTCTGGTGCCTTGCAGCCGCGCAAGCCCGGCTTTGCTCAGAGCACGGAGCCAGCGATGGCTGAGCGGGTCCTGCAAGGGCCGTCAGGTCTTGATCCTGAAATACCTGTCAAAAGTGACGTGATCTTGCTTGCCAACGCTGTGGCTCTCTGCCTGACCGCGCTGCTCCAGCCATGCCGCACCACTGTCCTGTCTCTGTACGCTCGAGCCTTGCGAGAAAAGCATTTGGACGTCCCCTCAGCAGTCCCCACTAGCGACGTCTAGGCACAAACACTATGAAACCCACTTTCTGGTTTCTTCATTGCCTTCTTTCATCCTCAGTACCATGCTTGTCCTACAGCAGGAAAAATAGATCCAAGCGGCCAGGATACACATACTGTGAATGTTCTCTGATGTGATTCATTTGCAGAATACCAATAATATATTTAACTAGTGTTGTACAAACGAAAGATGCGTTTTAAAAGAAGTGATTTTAAAGATTTATTCCAAAAGAAGCAATGATTTTTTTATAGAAAGATTTTCTGGAATAAATTGAAAGGTACAAAAAAGAAAAAAAGAATAAAAGATTGTATCCATCTATCAATCTTGTGTCTGGATGTTTTATGAGAATATTTCAATTTTTGTATTTCAGATGTGACATGGACTATTTTGTGGATGTGCTCATTTTCTTGCTAAGACTTATATTACAGTTGTATTGTGAAAGCTCCAAAGCCAAGGTTGGACAATAAACTTTGTCAAATACAGGATAGTTTTGTACAAGATATAATTTTTCTCTCTTTTTTTTTTTTCTTTTGGTAGGAGAAGGATCC